ACCCCTCCCTTCGATAGCCTCCTCCCCTCCCTTCAATAATTCATACATCAACCAAAAATAAAATCGATAAGATTTTGTAGGATGATTCCCAGCCATGATCTGCCGATACGTTGATACGTTGTTGATCGAATTTTCATCTCATTCGGTGAGCATCGTACGCAAGATGGAAACGTCCAATATATTCGAGATTGAAATGGGACATGAGAGATAATTTTTTGAAGCGCCTGCATCTCATTTTCATCAGGATTCGTACCTTTCGAATGTCGACATTCTAGATATTTGGGAGTTCCTTTTTTTTTGCAACAGCAAAGGCTCGTGTGACCACACCGTGCCGTGCAAGAAACAGCTTGCCTTGTCCATGCTTTGGGACAGGTCTTGACAATGTAGTGCTTTTTGCACTGGGACACATGCATTTCAAGTCTTGGACTTCACCACCTCAATATCCATAGCCGGAAGACATATAATTTTGCGTTCCGGCTAACAAAGGCATTCCAGGTGAGGTGGGGGACAGCGACATTGATGTCTTGACGGATTGCTGTGGCGTAGATCCCAGTGGCTTTGCCATTTTTAGCTCCTCAGGTGGTGACGGCAATCGCTGTGGTTTCACAAGAGGCGGACGATCCTCAGGAGTATAGAACTTGGTTGTGATGCTTTTCCCAGCGCCCGAACACAAAGGATGGTTGTAGCATTGCTTGTCCGGGTTGGAAACCTGACATTGCTTGCAGAGCCATATGTGTCCACACTGAGAGCACTCGTTGATTGGACCATATGGCTCTCGGTTGACCGCGTACACGGTCTGCCAGCTCTGTCTGTGAGAGGACTGCCACAGATATCGCAGATAGTAGTTCACACCCAACCAAACTACGAGCAGAACCAATCCAACATATCTATCAACCAGATTTTGATGTTCAATTAGGTTGCCGAGGAATCCAAGCAACACGGTCTGAAGGCAGATGATCACCTGGAAGCTGCATGCAAAGATGATGTATGCATCGGCTGCCGTGAGATACTCCTTGCGGGGCAAGGAATCGTCGATGACATAACGATATGCCAGGACAGCCAGGAAGCAGGTGCTTAAATGCCCAAGTCGGCCGCTGACATCCTCAAGCGGAATGGAGAAGGTGCAGAGGCTGATGATATTCACCAGGAAAACCATGAACAGCACGCTGTGAAAGTAGTAATCACCTCAGGGGAGGCCCATCTTTAACAAAGTCAAGCAGAGGCCAGAAGGAAGCTAGTGGCACAAGGGGATGCAGAATGGCAACACATCCGTTCATTTTGCTCTGTACTTTGTCTGTCCAATCTTTTGAGTACAGCGTTGCTCCAACGCCGTGTTATCACCACCCAACCAAAGCACAATACTGTGGTAGCGACCTGACATGCAGCAAAGCTGGCGGATGATTGCAAGCTTTGTTTCTGAACAAGCGCCTTTCCGCTCAAGATGGAAGACGACCGAGACACATGAGCGCTGTGCTTCAAACGGAAAGTACCTGTGTCAGGACATGGGAGCGAACAATTCTTTCCATTAACGCTGGTGACCTTGAACCTTGCAAAGCATATACTTGGTCGCTGCCTGCCTGTCACAGTGTCGAACGTACACCGTGCATTTCTGCTGAATGCTGTTGTCGCAAGCCCACATGTCGCAAACCTGCGCTATCTTCTTGCTGCCCACGACAGGTACAAACCTTGGCTTTTGGGCAATGCATTCTTGCGTGACAACAGCGACATCGATCGCACCCAGTGCTGGTGAAGCAGCTGGAATTCATCGATTAATTTTTCTGCGGTCAGCTTGATCCTGGACTGGGATGGTGAGGGATGCAGCTCTGTCATGTATCGCAGTGCTTTGGTAAGTGGTATGTGGGATATCCTGTGACCCTCGCCACCACGTCGCCTAAAGCTTCTAATGGTTTTTGGGAATCTAAGAGACCGGATTTACCGAACATGAGACAAAGCCCTCGACATAGAGATCCCCCGTCCTGCAGAGGTGCCGATCCAAAGGGAAATTTTGCAACTCGAGGCTCTCTTGAAAAGTGGCATAGTACTTCATGGAGTATGCGACGAAGCCGCCCATTTTGCCACACCAGAGAAGCGACCGCTTCTCAAGAGTTTGCAAGGCATCGTTTTGCAGGTTCAAAAAAGAGAAATCAGGAAAGAAGTACTCGTCCCACTTTGGATCCTGCATGCTTACATACTCCAACTTTGAAAGCGTTCGAGTCTGCCTGGTCTCACCATCCACAAACTCGATATCGCCATTTGCGTACTTCTTCTTTAGCAGAACCTTCTTCTTCTTCAGATGGGGCTCGTCAACCGCATCTTCTTGTCGAAGAGTGATCTCCGATTCGAAGTTTTTCAGGTCTGGATCCAGCCAAGATAGCTTCAGTACAAAGATCATGTTGAACCTCAGCTAGAAGATGTTGTGGTTCCTATTGTAAGTTACGATACTATGCTGCAATATAGTATAACCGATTATACAATACATTAAAGTACGAGGTAGAAAGACGAAAGAATGTGAACGAGCAGCATATGATCACGCATTGAAGATAATAAAGCATACTTTCATATGCCCCCAGCCCCCGTTCCCGTTTACAGAGGGTGAGCAAAAACCCTAAGACTTTTATTTTGTTTTTTTTGGGGGGGGCTAGATACTAAATAAAGCGAGTGCAACATTAGCGGCAATTATGTGCTATGTTTCCATATAATACTGTACTATAAAAAATGTGTTTTTGGGGGGGCTAGATACTAAATAAAGCGAGTGCAACATTAGCGGAAATTATATGCTATGCTTCCATATAATATTTTACTTTACGTAATTGTATATTTCTACAGATTGTAACACATGATATTATATTGTGACGTTTTACGAACATATCTTGTCCCTAGAACATAATGTGTGCTGTCTCACTGCTATCTAGTATACTACTGGACGACACCTTGCGGAACTTTTCAAGATTGCATCTGGCCAAACCCTCGTACCCCTTTTTCAAGCTCTGGGAAGCCTTCGACACCGACTTGTTCTAATGACCAAAACCTTGCACCACCTGGCAAGCAACAGCGCCAATGTTCCCAAAAGGGAGTTCGGGTATCTCCACCGAAAGAAGCAGAAGATTTCGTTCGATTTCGTTCATCTACCGTACAGCTTCGTGTCGGGTATGATCGCATATCATCCAACTCCTTCAAATATAATATGCAATACTATAGGTGTGTAAACGCCAGGCGGCTCTTCATTCTGGTCATCAACCTTCTTCAACTCATGTGGGTTCACATCGATGTAGACCCTGATGGCCTTCCTGCAGTCAATCGTAGTGCCACCATCTTTGGCGTTGCAATTCTTTGTGTACTCCGTCAGTACCTTGCACTAGCACGTTCAATAGACAAAGAATGTGCATCATGCGACACACTCAGCGCCGATGACATGGTCTCAAGAAGACGGACAAGACACGGTCTTTTTCGGGAATGGCTCTGAGTATGCGGAAGAGATGTAAACTATGAGGTATCTGTGTGCACATGTGAAGAAATGGCGTCAAGGGCACGCCATCTTCGTAACCTTCCGGTTGAATGGCGTTGACGTCAAACTCCTGCCCCAAGTTTGCAGAGACCCCCAGAAGCTCTGCTCAGAAACCCTTCGCAAGGATTCGAACACCTAAAGACCATCCTAGCTAAACTCAAAGCGGCAAAGCCCATGCAGACAACCTCACCACCCTATAACCTGCCTAACCTTTCTTGCTGAGTGCCATAACTTTCTGATACAAAATCTCTTGGTCTTCTGGGACTCTGGAAGGGTTTTCTGAGCTGGGGGACACGGGCTAGCTGTGGTACGGTTTTCGTGCAACCCAGGCTGAATGACAGAGCAACATGCTGAAGTGAGTAACAGCCTGATTCATGCGAAACTTGAACGGTACAAACACTGCTGGGAGCGAAGCAGTAACACTAAGCAAGGCGGACGCCAGCAAGCAGCCTGTTTGTCTCGAACAGACGCTCAGGTGTGAGGGACGCATCGCGAAAGTGCTAATAATTGAAGCGACAGCACTGATCAGAAAGGATAGGAAACAAAAGACGAAGATAGATGTATTGACTGAGAACGCAAACCAAACCAAATGTCCGGATTCGGGAATCCCATTGGAAAGGACAGATCAGCGCGTGAAGACATTTAAGCCATGCGAATCTGCCAATCACCAAGCTCAGTTTCTGAATTGCGCCTAAACTTTCTTCCCGGACGTCTACCGCAATCCATTCCCAAAATGTGCAAATTTGTCGGGCTGCAGGTCAGGTGTCGCAGTTGCCTAGCCTCTTCTGAAGAGCTCCAATCTTCGCCAGAACGCGCGCAGGGTGTGTAAACACATCGATTGTCATCCCACCACATCTACGAATGGCAAGGACACTATGGACAGTAGCGCCTTGCCGATCAGTCAGCTCCTGTAAAGCTGCACCTTGCTGACACTTACTGTGGCTGGTTGAAGACATGAAGATCATCTCATGGCCCTACACTTCGAGCAACATGGCATTTGGCGAGTCTCAAAGGGCGAGCGCCTCTCAACACAGATCGCCACTTGCTCCCTTGATAGTCGCGGCCACAGCACGTGACGAACCCGATTAGCGACTCCCCCCTGAAGCCGAAGTACAGACCTGCATCAACCCCCAAAAGTTGCAAGCGAAGCCAAACATCACCATGTCACTACGTCACTCCTCGACCTTAGGGCGGACCACCTTTGTTGTGTTGAAACTTTGCCTTCCAGTCCTACAACCATCGACTCTGTTGACGGCAGTGCTAGTTGATCGGCCCGCTTGGCGCCTCAATGGCCATCTGACAAGTTGTGGCCTGCAGGGCATGTGCCCGGGTGTGCACGCCGGCAAGCCAACTCCTTTTTGGTATTCTGCGTGAGCCGCAACAAAAGGTATCGCAGGGACTTTTCCCTGATGCTGCTCGACAATGCCTTTGCCTTGCAAGGCAGCGCAGCGCTGCCCCCAAGCATTCGTACTCCGAAAGTAACCAAGGCGCTCTCTTTGAAGAGCTGAAACTCACTATCCTGGCCCTTGCTGTACATCCTCCCCATGGGAGAGGAAAGGTAGGATCTCATGGATCAATATGGATCAAGCTTGGCTTGGCATGAGTTGGCTCCGTAAGGAAAAAATGCACTTCTGGCACCACTCGTTACAACACCAGTCTCTACAGCGCAGCTGTGAGCTGCACTCCAGGCTTGAGTGATTCCTCTGAGGAAGAAGTGGAGCACGAAAAAGCAAGATTGCTGCAGAACCACAGCCTGAACACGGGATGAAACCATGAACAACCACCGCTGTTGGCTGCCGGGGCTGCTGATGATATGCAGCACAATCTAAGCGCCTGTGCTCTGCTCGGAACTTGAAGATTCCAGTCCGATTCCAGTCCGAAACAAGGAAGCCTGCAATACCACGAATCCCTCTGGCGTTTCGTCGCAAAGCACGGGCTCAGCAACAGGAGTCTCTGGAGACATCGAATCAACCTGCGCCTTTTTTGGCTGTTTCCCCCGTCGCTAGGTGGTTAAACTTCAACTGCACCTCCAGACGCTCCCCCTTCTCAGCAGCGTGTACACAACGGCGGATCAGCTGGTTTTGTCAGCAGCCTTCCTGAGTTCAAGAGCCGAACACATTCCCGATACGATATCGCTCCAAAGAACGACTTCGGAACTGATGCGGCACTGGCACCAACTAATGACGACATTAAGACCTTCCAGTCCCGCTGGCTGGTCTCCATTTGCAAAAGTCAGCCCTCATCAGCCAAAACTAGCCCCCTGATCCGGAATCTTGAACTGACGGTCCCCAAGCGCCAACTCTTCTCACATGCTCTGTCACCCGAACGAAACCTCAGGACCTTTGAGCCTGGCAGCGCAGCGCTAACAAATAAATATCTGGACAGACCTGGACACAATACGACCTAGCTCGACAAAGCCCGACTAGTACCTACCCTAGCTGCGTGCCACGCGCTTCGCAAATGCAGCCAAGTCGTCCATCCGCGCGGGCGAGCCTTGAGCTGGCCGGAAGCCTCAACCAAACTGCTCAGCCATTCCTACTGCTCCTTCGCCCTCCTTCGCCCTACTCTTCCTCTCGCTGTATCTGCCATATCCCTGAACCAAGGGGCGCGGTAGAAACGCTCCAGGATTGCCTCTGCTGTATCCTGAAGGACAATGTGCTCTGAAAGCGCTCTCCCCGTATTTGGGCTCTGCCATCTCCCCGCCCAAGTGTTTTTCTCCGTGGTTCCTTTCCCTCTGAGCTAAAGGGATCTTTTAAGATTCGGAGAGGTCCTGATCTGCATCTTGCCGTGGGGGCGGCGAAAACCTGAGGACTGGCGCAGGGGGGGGTGAAGCCCGTTTTGGGCTTGTGCTTCGGCAGACATTCCAAAATGATCCCTTACATTCACGTGGGAAACTTGGGGCACGACTTTTCAGAAGGTGTCTGTGACGCGCCTCGCATGACAATGCAGGTATCAGAATGTTGCGGCTCCCGTGCTTCGAAGCGTGGGGAAAACCAAATGCAAACGTAGTGCAAATTGCGAAGCCACCTGCGAACATGAGCGAGTGCATGCAAAGCGTTTCACGGTCCCATTTTTTGTAAGAGGTGCCGTGAGCCCACAAGCACCGTGGCAGCCATCTTCGCAAAGTGCTTTGGACTGTGGCAAGAGCATGAACCCGTCTCTGAAATAACAATAAGAGACGCTTTGCGACTTTCTCAAACACGCTAATGACTTACCCGAGTGACCCAAGATGACCCAGGCGCCTGCGCTGGGTTCGCCTGTCTGTGTGCCCGGACCACTGCATAGGCCGCCAAACCTCGACAACTACGAAGGCAACGCAGGTCCACTAGGCATCAAGCATGCTCTCTAGGTTATTCTCCAGCTTAGCAAAACAAACAAAGAGGTGGCTTCGCATGACGCGGCAGGGTTGTTCTTGCTCTGCCGACGCGTCCAGAACTCCAGGTTCCGCTGTGTGGACTCTTGAGGCTTTGAAGGCTCGACTGCTCTGGTTTGGCATCTTGTGCATTGCGGGGTCCTTGGGAAAACATCCTACAATCCGAAGAGATCTCAGCTTTCGATGAGTGAAAGCAGCGTGAGGTGACTTGCGACTCATTTTTTAGGTCGGGTTGCACACACACCAGCTTCACAGTGATAAAGGTCTTTGCGGTTTTGGCAAGATCCGCCAAAGTTTCTGTCATGTTGGTAAGTTGTATCTGCCTCTTTCAGTCTTCATCAAGTCTAACATTGGCATGTGAGCTGAGCTTGTGACTGGATGACGGTATCCATGTTTGGCTCAAGAAAATACGGCACAGAGTACCTCTCGGAGGCCTTGGCATCACGAGGGGACAAACAAACGCGGTGGGCAGGAACAGGCCTCAGGAGCGTCCCCGACTTGGTGCCAAGCGCTGGTCGTCACAACTCGATGTACAGTTGACCTTTGTTGATAGCAGTTTTATAGTATTTTTTCAGATCCAGATTACTGTTAGAGTATGTTAGAGTATGCACTGCGAGTTCAGAGCTACTTCGTAACTTTTTCCATTGCCCGGGATGAAAGCTTTGGTCAATCCAGGCCATAGAAAGAATCTGGAACGTTGAAAAGCGACACCAAATCCTTAGCAAAGTGGCCAAGGGCACAAATGACGTTCAACCCGCACATGGTGATGTCATCTGATCTCGACTGCGTAAACTTGCCTGTTCCAAGCGTTTTTCGACAAGATGCAAGATTCGCAGGCTTCGTCACCTTACAAGATCAGAGCAACTGCAGGGCATCAGAACAGCTGACCGCCTCCGGCCCACCGTCCAAAAGTCCGCCAGTGCCTAGCTGCCTAACCCCTCTCTCGCCAGAACCTGCTGTGATGACCGAATCAAGACCAACCAACTATTTTGTACATAGGATTGTGATCGCAGCGTCGGGTTCTCTGATGTTCCGTCATGCCAGCGTAGATCCCGAGCAGTGTAAAAAAACCACAGCATTCCAAGAGCACCATCCGGAAGGCGCCCGGCGCGGCCAGAGCAACTGTTTCGACGTTCCCACCCCCCCTCCCCCGGAACGTAAGAACCCCATCTGGCAAGCACTTCGTGAAGACCCTTGAAGAATTTGGCATGCCAACACACGCCAAGTCTCAGAGACCTGGAAGCTCTCGCCTACAGCGCAGGTGTCCGGGACGATGAGGTCGTACATGATGCCCAGGTACGAGATCTGACACAAGAAGCCCCTGCAATGCCCTACAAACTCTCCCATCTCTGCCGAGTCAGAGTGCATGGTGGCTGGCCAGCCTTCAGCGCTTGTCCAGGTCCTGATGTCTCTGGCACAGTCACGTCAATGGCGTCGCCCGCCTGACGGCCAACCTCTGGGCAGTAGCTTTCCAGTCAGGTTAGAAGTCTGGATGTCCTATGATGTCCCAAAGCGGTTGCAAACACTACAGAGACCCATTCAACGGAACGGAACGAACACGCAAGAAGAACAGGATAAAGCACATACCCCAACGTCACAAAAGTGGGTGTGGAACGTGGAGAAATAATTGCAAGGGTGGTGGGACAATGACTTCTGCATCGGACAGTGAGTTTGGTCGGCCTCGGCAAACATGACTGAAAGGAAATTGTCGTAGGACTCGCCTGCACGATAGAAAGTCGGCAAAGGGTCGGGCGAGCCGGGAGCGATTTGTGAGCCAATACAAAGCCGGGCTGCAAACAGTGACCGCTTGCAAGAAGGCATTCAGCCCATCGTCATACTGAAAGCCGTGGCCCTGACATCAAACGCTATGGGGGATAGCATCGCACCATATCGCACCTGGCATGCAGCCGAGATTCATTCTGGTCTTGAAGCCAGTGGCATAGTTCGGTCAGCTCCCGATCAGTCATCCCCAGGGAATGGAGAATCTTCCTGAGCTTGGAGCCATCTCCGTCTCATGAAAGCTGGGAACACAAGACAGCGGGCGGCTCTGCATGCTTTCGGCGTGCTCCATATCCGTTCTGCAATAAAGAGGTTTCGGGAACTGAAAACCCACGTCAGGTACAGCGTAGTGCCGCAACTGCTTGTATTCTTACGATCACCTTCCTGCAACTTCTGCAATCGCTGTTCCTCGTGTTCGAGCTAGGTTTGAAGCCGGAGGCGAGGCCGGCGGCCACGGCGTTTTGGTGGTGAGTCTTTTGGCTCGATGAAACGCTACGTTGGGTGGTTGGGTGGTGTTTGGACTCTCGAATCGCACAAGGGAGGTGTGTCCGTGACCGCACCGGCTTGCGAAGGTAGATCCTTCTGCGCAGAACCCGGCTCTCTGGGTTAGGTCCAACGAAGCTGTGTACCCGCGAGGGATGCCTGGACTGACCATCGAGGTGTACTTGCGCAACTTTAAAGTGTAATCATATCACTTTTGTTCTTACCACTGAGCTTTCTGCTCAACATGGCCCAGCCCTCAGTTTCAAGAGACTTGATTGTGCAGCCATGGCATTTCCAAGAGCGTTGCATGCTTTTCGAGACATGCGTGTTCTGATCCCATACCAGTTGAATCAGAACGCGAAATGAAGCAGCCTGAAACATGATAGATGTCACAAGTTGAAAGGAAGGAGTTCTGAAGCTTGTTTGGTGCATTGCCGGACGACTATCGCTGTTCGTCAGCCGACCTTACTGCTAACAATGAAGCTTAAGCTTCGTCCGTGGCAGATTCAGTCGAGGAAGACAATTCTCTAGTTAAACCCTTTCGGGGGGTCAGGAACAATGTGTGTGTGTGTGTTGGTTGTTGTAATTCTGACGACTCTTCTGAGGGGTTTCCGCTTTTGGTGGTGGTTGCCCAGAGAAAGAAACATTACACTGCCGGCTTTCTACCTGGAACTTCTACTCACCTCGTGGACAGCCATGCATTGAAAATTCGCTTTCTTATCTTGGCAGCCAAGAAACCAATAAATAAGCCCAGACGCCACGAAGTGCAGAAGCCAAGAAGCCGAGCTAAAGATTGCCACAATTGTCATTGTGCAAGTCATAGTAACTAGCGCGATAGTAGAAACATGAACTGCAAGCAGTAACGATATATCGTTTCTGCAATCGCAAAAGTTGTAAATATAACAGTTGGCAGAATACTAGCAGTACATGGGATTGCAACAAGCAGAGTGATGCGGAGTGCATCGACAATCACAGGGGTACTGCCCCTCCTCTTGCTCGCACGACTGTTGACCCCAAACCTTATAAACATTCTGCTTGGTCAAGGCTTCTGCATCTGCTGCTCGAAGATTGCACGGTACTGGTCGTGATAGGTCTTCCAGGCCTGAAGGGCCAAAGTTTCAGGTCACCACAATGCAAAAATGGACTCATGTCGCTGTTGGACCGTTTGCGCCATCGATGGATGACCGGGGTAACAAGCATCAACGAATCTAACATAATCTGAAATTTACGACGCCAGTATGCCCGAGGGTGTGCCCAAACTCTGCACACATCTGCAACTCATCTTTCAGCTCGGCGGCATGGGGATGGCTTCCATCTTCGCAAACTTGAAGGAACTCGGGTGCTCGGGCAGCAAGGAAAGCCTCTGCCCGGTCGAAGGCGAGACGCACAGGACCACTCCCACACAATGCCCTCGCAGTGCCCTTGCCCCGCAATGGAACCCTCCTGGATTCCACTCCTGAGCAGCCTGCCTGCAATTCCCGTCGAAAACTTGGATCCTGAGCATGCGAGCGGTCCAAGAGTTTGTCACCAGCAGCTGCCATTCAAGCCCTCGTATTCATGATACCCCCTCAAACTCACCGCGAACAAAATGTCGAGCTTTGAGGAATTGAAGGGGGGGAGGGACAAGCCTACTTCATTTGATTCAGCTTGACACATGTTTTTTGAAAAAGGATCGGATCCAAGATGCAAAATTCAAGATGTCCGAGGGGAAATTTAACAGGCGTTTTGGACCAGATTCAGTCTCATTCATTTTGAGAAGAAGGATGTGATCAACCCAGGCATCTTGAGTCTCGAATCGTGGATCCCGGCCTTCGTCAACATTTGAAAGAAACTGAGCGAACAAGGGCCGGCGGGGATTCAAGACACCGAACAAAGCTTGCCCTAGACATCTCGAATCATGCCTTACTCGACTGGTGAATGAAATTGAGGAGGCTGAATAAGGTCCCAGACATGCTTCAGAATGCAACCACAGCCTAGGTTCAGAATGCACATAGTTGCTGGAAACGAAGTCGCTACTCGTTTGACGTTTAAGCCCGGATTCTGGCACAACAAGACACCACCATTGAACAACACATGTGTATACCCAAACATACAGAAAACGTCGCGTATACATGATCTGACGAAACACACCACCGCCGCCAGCAAATTCCGCACTCTGTCACTATGGTGTGGGGGGGGGAGGGGGGGGGGGCGGTCGGGGTGCAATTGGGGGGGGGGGGGGGGGGGGGGGGTAGCAAGCATTGGGGGGGGGGGGGGGTAGCAACAAAATGATATATACATATATACATATATATGTATGTATATACCTATATATATATATATAGATACAAATATACATATACACATACACATACATATTAATATACATATCCATATCCATATCCAGATACATATACATATACATATACATATACATATACATATACATATACATATACATATACATATACATTAATATTTGTATGTATATTTGTATGTATATTTATATTTGTATGTATATTCATATTCATATTCATATTCATATTCATATTCATATTCATATTTGTATTTATATTTATATTTATATTTATATTTATATTTATATGTATTTATTTATTCTTTATGCATCTTATACACCATGCTGCACAGCATGCATTACCTGCAGATGGACTGTTTAAGCTGGGCTGTCACCGGTGCCTGCAGAAAACCGCTGATCAGAGGTTCCAAACAGGAACCTCAGTTGCAGACGACTGGTCATTTGGATACCTGCGCTTGGCAACCGTGGAAGGCGTGTGGAAATCATGCGAAAGTCATGTAGAACTCATGTGGAAGTGAAGGTCGCGTGTGAAGGTCGCGTGTGAAGATCGCATGGTCCTTTCGTGCATCCTGATGTGCCAACCTCATTGGTGGAAGCTTGTAGGCACCAAGCCGGTTGTCCGCCTGCTCTTTGGACAAGCTGCCGCAAACCGGCGCGTGCAGCGCTAGTCGCTCGTAGAGCTCCTTCTTCAAAACGATCGTGCGTCTTGCACCAAGCCGCATGATGCAAACCGTCGTTACAATGAATGCTTGCAAGTGAGTCTGGGGCGAAAAACGAACAAACCCAAAGCGCACCAAAGACTCTTCTCGGCCTCTCCCTACGTCAACCCCTCACTCTTCCTCTGCATCTGGAGGAGGCGGTGGCGGGGGTGGAGGCAGTGCCATGGCTGCACTTTCTAGGATTCATGCGTCGAGATACACTGGGGTGGTCGATGCGAGAACGTGACACTTTGCTCTTACCTTTGTGATGTTTTGTTGGACCTTCGACTGAAGCTGTCAAGTCTGTGTATGAAGTCTGTAGCTAATTTGCGACCGATGCTCAATGCCGCTCATGACAGGCCGTAGTTGCGGTGAAGGCAAACATGAATGGTAAAGGGAAGGAAGTGACAGAGGCGGCCTTAAGGACCGCCATTCTACACTTTCTTGTTTTGATGTCCACCTAGGCCTAGCGGCTTCCGCGCCCGGGTCGTAGGCTCCCCAAAGCTAGCTTTCGTGAATGGGAGTTATCCTCGTACGTATTCAAGCCACCTTGAGCACCCACGACGAAGAAGCAAGCAGCAAACACGCAATGCAAATTCATGCCTGTGAGTCTGCTGAGGGCCGTGCTTAAATCGATGAGCTGTCCATCGGCTCAGCATGTCACCCAAGTTGATGACAAATGCGTTCTTGACCTGGGATGGCGTCAGCCTTTCGGCAAATACCTGAAATCGTGCGGGCGCTCCTTAAGCACCAGGATGCACCAGGGCTCCAACCGGACAGCAGTGAATCCACCGACCATCCTTCGCATTCAGGACCTGTGAGACGACAGGCAAGCCCGTGCAAGCCCACTACGCTGAAGGAAGTAAACAGATCTCATTGCAACCGAGCGCCTGCAGTCCGCCCACCGAGTCCTTCATTCTCGGCAAGTCGACAAGCAGATCATGGCAGATCATGGCAGGTCATGGCAGGGGTCACAGCAGCTCCTGTTTCAGGATGGTGAGCAGCCCATAATCCGTGTGTTCCCCAACGCCGATCTCAGTCTCGTAGTCCTGCGCCCAAACATGGCTGGTGCCAAAAGGAAATCGCTGGGCGCATGGGCCTGCAGCGGCCAGTAGTGCAGCAGTCTGTGAGTTGCCACCTCGGATGTCTCAGCACGAAAGCAAGGTGCGAATCTGATGTTGGCCTATATCTAATCGTCGCTGCAAACTGCGAGGATGCAAAAACTGGAGCTGAGTTCCCGAGCGGTGCCCTATGCCTTCCAGGCTGAGGCCAGGGCAGGCTGAGTCAAGTGCCTCGGGCAGCAGCTCAGAGAGTGACTTACCCTGCACTGCACCCATCAGCATTTCACAACTCCATTCGCGCATCCATTAGGGCCGGCTTATTGCAGCAACTCATCTGTGTTCACTGATGCTGCTTAGCCACTTCTCGAAAAAGTCCCGGGGCTTGTCGAGGGCCAAAGCCATCAGCGCCAAGAGCCTCCACCAAAAGCACTAGACTTCTAAGTGCATAGGTGCTGCATCCAGTCACACCAGCACTCATCGAAACCACCCTGCCTCCTTGCCAACCGAAACATCTCAGATGCCTTTGAACTGGTGTGGGTGCATCAGCTCTGTGCATTCTTAAAGGATCGAACAACTGCAATGCACCTTCCGATTCGTCTACCACATCAGCATGCAGAGATAGCTGAGGCAGCACACGTACTCATCAAGCACCGCCCGGAAGCCCCCAAGTTCCGCCTGCGAGGTGACTCTTGAACTTGTGAACATTTTTGAACATGCTTGGGGTTATGCTAGAATACTGTAAAAACACCGTGTAACAATGTAAGACACTGTAAACTGCAGTCGGCACCTCAGTCGGCAGCTGGGAAGGCCTACAGCCAGGGAGAATGGGGGAAGATTCGCTTGCAGGCACTCCTGAAGTGTGAGTTGAACCTCGGAACTAAGCCAGGGACTGCGCAAAGATTTCAGCAATGTATCCCCCAACAGGCCGGGAAAATGGGACCCCATTGCAGTCCAAGGCCTCCACCACACAACTGCGAGACACCATCCAAGTCGATGTGCCGAGCCCGCAACACAGTGCGCCTTTTCATATGTTTCTTCATAGGCTTTTCGTAAGCGTTTCATGATGTTTCATGTGTTTCGCAACGTACTTGATGGGCCCCTATCAATTTTCGAGGATCAGCACCCTGACATAAATAGCGCTTCTTCGATTGTAGGAGCATCGCTTTGGGGTGGGCCCCTATCGATGTTAAAGCCAAGACAAGACTGGATCTACATTTGTTTTGTCCGATGCCCATATTGCTTGTCCTGTACTGTTCATATGATTCACAACTCGCCTCTTTGAGATCCTTGCGCGCCTTTTTGATTGTGTCCTGCAAAGGGTGCCCAAGCTGCAAGGTTTGCAAGCTAGCCTGAGAAAGCCACACCCTCCACAAAAGTGCCATTCCAAGCTAAGAATTTGTCCTTGCCGTCGGCCTCATCGACCTGGCACAGGGTCGGTTCACCCGGCTGCCCGGCATGGCTGCCAAGCCAGCTCTGGCCTGCTTCTCCAGAACTTGGTCGAGATCCTGAGGCGACGGAAACTGCCCTTGTGTGCAGTCAAAGAGTCCCCGAATCGATGCGCGGCGTGTCCAGACTCCACTGGGGGGCCAATCTACCCTCACTCCGTGTCTACCATCCAATCAAGAGCTCCTCGCCGCCACGCCCAAACCACCCACGAACGGGGCCTTAACCCGCAGGTCATTCCGAGTAATTCGCTGGCTACATCCAAGCTACTGCGCTGTGATGAGAGAGAAGGGAAGTTGGCTCGCTGCTCTCATCGCTCAGCTTCAAGCGGTCCTGGCAGCGAAGCGGACTGCAGTGATTTTCTTCTCTGTGCCTTGCACCCGACCTTTACCGCCTGCGGCAGCTCAAAGAACTTCTTCTGCAAGTCCTGCAAGTGCAGCGCAGGCAGGTGGGCTAATGCACTTCTTAACCTGCATGGAAACGGAATGAAACACAATGTGAAAGAAGCCTGGGCTTTCGCCCGCCCACTGCACGAATGTGAATTTGCGCGCACGAGAGTCTTTGCCCAATGCTTCTGGGTTCAGAACATGGCTACAGGCAGAACGTCGGGCGTTGCACTGGGTAACCGCGCCATGTGCTTCTGCTGCAACTGCTCCGAGATGCCATGCCTGAGAGGCCACAACGTCACAACGTGATACATGAACCTCTGATGCACACAATCCCCTAGCGAGAAGGCAAGGACAGTAGTGATCCGAAATCTCAGCTTGCGCACCCTGTGACCTGCATGAAGCCCACAACCTGCAAGAATGTTCGCCCATTGCTGGAACTGCCATTGTCGTTGCAATCAGATTTCGCAAGCACCACGACTCTGAAAGGATCGCACGGGCCAGCATACGTCAGCAACGTGCAATGTTACCATGTTGCTGTATCGAAATAACAAGCCTCACAAGCGTAGCGGATCTCGTCCACAAGAGCTGCCTGTCACAAGACCATGTGGGCCGGAATGCGCAATATCAAGGTGCAGAGTGCTGCATGATGCTATCGTGAACAAGACTTCGAAGGCGCGAAAATCTTCAGCAGAAAACAGAAGAAACAGTTTGCACTGTGCTCCAGGACATTTGGTGCAAAGCATGGCAACAAAGCGCGATTCCTGCCGTCTGCTCGAAAACCAGCCCTCACTGCTGCGGATGATGGTGATGGTGCCGGTGACGGTGATGGTGATGGTGATGGTGATGGTCATGGTGGCATGTGTACGAAACACCCAGAATGGCCAACACCAGAACAGCACGAAGATGATGATAAAGATGATCCAAGGTGTAGGGTCCTGCCCCAGTTAGTCCCGACAGCGGGAACGGCACAACGCATGCTACGTGTGTCTTTGGGCACGCACACACAGACGCATGCTCACTTTGGTGGCAAGGACAAATCGGACAGACTCTGATAAGACGTGGCTATGCTGTTTTCGGGATTGTGCATGCAAGTGAGATGAAGAGTGCCAACATGTGCCATGATGCCAGCACATGCAGCTGCATGTGGTGGAGCGTGAGAGCAACAGCAAGTTCCTGCAAAATACGACTCTCCTCTCCTACATCAACGTTTCTACTCCTGTCTTTTTGACATGGTTGTGCGCAAGCATGTCCCAGCTTCCCTGCTAGGGAAGCATGCCTCCCTCTTATTACCCTCTAGCCAGCAAAACAGTTTCCTATTCCGGCCTCGTCCCGACACAAGTCGATGATCGGCACGTCTTCAAAGGACTTCGGATCAACAATCTTTGCCTCCAAACTCGTGTCAGGCTTTCGAGTGCAAAATGACACACCAAGGTCACAGCTTATCAGAAAGCTCCAGTCCCCGACCCACCTTCAGCGCATCCGGCAAGTTCGTCGGTATGTTGGGTTCACAGGCTGAGAGGATCTTGGCAGGCACGCTGCCTCCGTCAGGGCTGCTGCTTGCCTGATAGCTATTTGTGACTCTTTAGCCGATAACGGGTGTCTGAAATACTCCCAGGCAATGCAAAAGTCAGCTAAAGCATAGTCTAACGCATGCGGCATGCGCAGACATTGGCTACTGGCTACTTCTGCTCATGCCGTGTGCTCCTGCAGAGCCACACGCTTTGGGACGACGGCCGATCCCAGAACTTGCACAATGAATACACGAGGCAACATGTTACATCGTGCTTCTCCTGCCTCTAACATAGATGTTGTCCTCCCTGTCACTGGACTGAACCTTAGAGGAGTGCATTGAAACCGGTTTACACAGGGCGCGCCTTTCCGGGTGACAATCTGACCGGACTCATTGAGCTCCCGACCAGCTCCAAGTCTATGCCTAAATCCGCGGCCTTCTTCGTGTCGATGACCTTTGTGGTTGCAAATCACAAACAAAGAGGCCACTGATTACCGAGATATGCCGATGATACTAGTGCTTTGTGCTCTCTTAGCTGAGCAGCGAAGATCGCATCTGGCCGTCTATCAAGACCCGCGCGGTCCTAATCGTGCAGCCCAACGGCTGTACAAAGGTGGGAGATATGTCCCTTCTGCAGCTCACTGAATTTCCCATGTTGCTGATCTGTACTGAAAATAGGAAGCTTTGCAGATGTGCACGCAAAAAAACAGGCCTTATCGATCTCGAAATTAGAAGCCTGCCAGCTCGAAGGCATTGCTACGAGCGCCACTCTTGCCAGGTCTCCAAAGATCAAAAAGGACTTCCCGAAACAACGTCTCCAAACCGCATTTCAGGGGCTCAACAACCACAAGAACCTTCGACGAAGATCAAGCCAGTGATAAACCACATTAAAGGCAACCGACGCCTGCGCCTGTGCAGCAGGCTCCTGCTCCTGCGTTCAGTTTTAGGATGCATGTGCACAAGCTCCGCTGTCTTGGTGACCACGGCTAGCTACCACCCCTTTGCAGGAAAGGCCCCTCCAGAACAATACACAGAATACACAGAGCAATCCGCATCTTTTTACAGGATTTTGGTACGGCCATCTGTCGCCAAAGCAAGGAGTTGCAGGCCCCTTGCAATGACGACCTGCAAGATGTCACGAACACCTTCATCTTCGAGCAAGCCCACGTGCGCACGCTTCCGCGCACACTAGCAATGCTACCCAACAAAGGCTCCTCCACCAATCTCGGCGCGCTTTGGCCACCACCTATAATACAATCAATCTTGTCAGAGGCCGTTCCAAACACTATTCTGAATGGGTCAGCTCAAGAAGTCATGAATGCCGGCTATACGGGATCTGATGCCTTGCCCGACAGCTTGGAAGACACAGTTAAGCGTGCAGACACCCTGAACTATGCTCTGCATTGGGCCCTTGCAGCAACCTGGCTGCCTGTGACAAGTCATGCTCATGTTTTGGGAAATCCGCCGGCTCCCCCTCGTTTGATCTGGGGTATCTTCCGATCTCACAGGTTTCAGTCAGGTTGGCTGCCAAGCATAGATTGACAGCGTGCTTGAAAATCACTGATCTTGAAAGACCCCCAAACCGAGCTTTTAGGGCAAAGTCAACTTTGTTGCATGCCCCAACATGCAAACAAAAGCATGTCAACCCCTGTCGAACCAAAGTTCGGAATGGAAGCCCTCATTGGACGGTGTCCACATAAACCGCATTGCAGCAGCCCAACGACAAGTAACACAATGCGCAAACAAACCGAAGACGTGGACAAAGGCAGGCGGAGGATCCCCGAAGCGCATCTAGACTGTAAGCTTACAACACAGACTGCGGGGTGGCTGGTGCTCGGGAAACCTGCAGTAGCTTCAGTAGCTATTCCGAAACGAGCTCTGCAAGGAAGCGAAGCTCCACCAAAGAAGAACTGAGTCTGCCAGAAACATGTCAGGTTGGCGAAGGGTGTAGACGTGTGACCTGTGCGAGCGCTTCACACGTTCCCGGAACTGTGACCTTGAACACTGGAATCAGGAGATGTGCAAAGCTGGGCATCAAGCTCTGCACCCTGCAGCAAATTCTTGAAGGGTCTTCCTCAGATGTTTTCTGAACAGCACCGACAAATGTTGCTGCATTGTTGCCAAGTCTCTGGTGCTGGACAATGGGTTCTTGGCCGGGACGAGGCCTTGAGGCATCAAAAGTGACGTGCAGAAGGTGCTCTGCTTCCTCATCTGGAGCTCTCCGCTCTCGATCATCCCCAATCATGTTGAACGGAAGCAATGATACAAAAGAGTAACCCCCCCCCATGTGAGACCCAATTGCGGAGCATGCAGTTGCCAACTACCATAAACGAACTCCAAGCTTCAGATGAGTCGTCCGAAATTGGGCGCAAGAACCCCCCAAGGCACAAAGACGCTGCGAAGAAAATACGAGAGCTTTGGGGCGGCCTTCTCGAAGAATGCCATCCACATTCTCCCAGAAAGTTGCATGCAAAAGAAACCTCAGCCGAGCTGCGCTCAGATCACATAAGGACAGAACGCCCGCAGAATGAATATACATATATATATATATACATATACATATACATATACATATACATATATATATATATATATATGACTTTAAGCCAATCTAAGCTCGTCTAAGCCTGCCGAGTCCCTGACTTGGGCCGTACAACCTTTGGTACCTTGTTGGCCTCCCGGCGATCTCAACGATCTAAAGTCTGCCAGAAGCCAACTCAAAAGTTTAGACACTAAAGATTCCAAAGTACCCCCCCCCCCCCCCCCCCCCCCCCCCCCCCCCCCCCCCCCCCCCCCCGCCTGCATCAAAGGATCCTCCTTGGACTGGAAAAGGACGTTGCCACGACCTTGTGCACAAGTCTCACAGACAGAAATCAGCAGTGGTGGAACCGATACGGCATGAACCGGCTCCCGACAATGGCTGCCAGTAGCGGGCCTGGTCCAGCTCTTTGATCCACAACTTTCTGGAAGAACCATGGTCGGATCCTCAGACCGCCAACAGGATAGCTCGAGTCTCTTTTTGCTTTCCGCTGCGCGACCATATGAGGTGGTGACACTCCGTCAATGCCACGGGTCTTCCAGGTACCTTCCTTGGCCTTGGAGGCGATTCTGCTCTTCCGGATTGCGAACGGAAATACTAGAGACTCGCAGACTCACAGACTCATAGATCTGGGCATCATAGTCGAACTCCATGTTCTCGCTTCGAGCCTTGCATTCTCACGGAGCGAATTCCGGCCACCGTGAACATGAAGCGCTGTCTCGGAGGGCCTTGACTTCGTCGATGAAGATCAAGATCTCTGGCGCTTCCTTCAGCCCAGGCACCTGGAAACACCAGTGACTGAACTGCCATTCCACATCCCTCCACTCTCATCCACCATCCCTCCGCAAAACGAAGAATGTTCTGGGCTCCCGACCCGGCCATCCGCGCGGACTTCGTCGATCATGAAGATCTCACTCTTGGCCGCTTTCAGTCCTGGGAGGATGGCCCGCGGGCATAAGCGAAAACAAACCCCATCAGTCCGTATTCCCACTGATTCACAATCAAAGGCTGCGCCTTGCTCCATGATGGGCCCGAAGTGGACGAACTTCGTGCCATGCACGAAAGCCCCGCTGTTGCGGTAGCGTGGCCTCCACTCACGGTCGGGCATTGCCGGAATGCCCTGTTCTACTCTCCATCCCTTTCTCCTTCTCCCCAGCTCTGTGTCTCTTTCAACGAGCACGTTCAAGGACGGAATCTCTGATTCCACCCGAAACTTGTCATCGACTCCACCTCTCCCTACCTCCAAGGTCACCGGTCTGTTCATGGGCTCTTTCTGTCCTTTGTTCACCACCTAGTTCAGGGTCGAGCCCTTGCGCGGTGGGAAGGAATTAGTCAAGTCCGACAATTGTCGGCTCAGTTCTCTGACAAGCGAAAATCACATTCACCATTCCTTTGGTCCTTCCCCTTCCCCCCGGCGCTGGAGGGAATCGGCCGCGTCGGCCAGAAACGCTCGCATCAACAACGTCATCAATCTCCATTTGTTGACTAGTTAGTATGTAACGAATACAACATTCTTACCATTCCTTGAATTTCTTGCTACAGGATTCTCTTGCATTGTTTCTTTTTCCAGACCGCCCCTGCCAACTTTGAGTAAGCCGCAACACGAATCTGCATGTCAACCGTGTTGCAACGCATCTTCATCCACGTCTTCCCTGTTTACCTTGCCCAGATACAGAGACAATGAAAAGAGAGACAGGCAGAGACAGAATTTCCACTGGGCGAGCGCGTGGTCGCTGCTTCCCGGCTAGAGGAGGACAGAGGACAGGGAGCAAGCAGGAGGGATGTCTCTCTGACTTCTGCTGCACTGCCTTGACCCACCCCCACCCCTTTCATTTCCTTTCTCATTTCTCATTTCTCCGTTCTCTCTCGGGGCCAGAGGCCCTACCCCGGTTGGCGACTGCCTCTGAACTCTGGCCTCTCCCCACACAAGACGAGCTCTTAGCACGACTTGCCTGCCAACAAACTGATCTGCATGAGGCCATAGTGCGCTGGGTTCCGGACGGCGCAGTGAAAGCCGACATCTGCTTGGACTGGGCAGATGAAGATTTCAATGACGGCCATGACAAAGACGCAACAAATTCAGTGCCAAGTAAAACATACAACTGAATCAACAGATATGAAAACGACTGTGAAATACTTGCATCCGTACGCTCAAAACGCTGCTATTTGACAGGTACGCTTCTCGCGCGCATGAACTTTACATGAACTCCCAATGGTCGACTGAGATCGCAGCAGACAGAACAGAGATGCTCCCTTTTGTATCAGAGAATTGAGATACCTGAAGCACATGATACTGCCGCATCAAATTTGGTAAGTCTTATGCACTTCACGAAGCTTCGACACGAAACATAGTCTTTGACGCACCCTTTGAGGGCTGATGCTCTTGCAAGTCCAAGTCACGCTGCCGATATGACTGCCTCCCATGTGGGAGACCACCTAGGGTGCAGATCGGAGGAGCAGTGCGCGTGCCATTTTATGCAGGCGTCTCGCCACTCAAGCATGCAAATTCGGTTCTCGGCTCACGTCGCAATTTGGGGAGGGCACCGAAGCGACATCGCTGAGATTGCTGATGGCATCAATTTCCTGAAACACTGGCCCTCACACTGGCCCTCATCTCAACTCTCATCTCAACTGGTCATCTCGAGTGGTCCAAAGTTGATCTACACCTGCCCGCCTAGGGTTTCATTCCTTGCGAGAGTCTCTGCATAATGGTTTGGTTTTGTAAAGGCAGCTCTGCAGACCTGTAGCTGACTACCTCCACGTCCATTCACAAGTACATATGGTGCCTCCTGCAACGGCGGAAGCCCCTGCAGCGGCTGAGAGCGAGCAAGAGAGAGAGAGAGAGAGAGAGAGAGAGAAAAAGAGAGACTCTCTTTGTGTGCTGCATTTGTGCGCTCCAGCTGCGGTGACCCTCAGGCCTGGAGATGCGGACTGCTAGCAACATTCGGCATTGTCCCACCCAAGCCCTCCGAAGGGCTGAGCCGCTCAACTCGTGGAGTGAGATGGTCGCACATGTGATCTCCAGAGCGCAGAGAACCCTCAGAAAGCTATAAGACAAATTTTTCGACAGCCTTGACGACCCGCAGTGTCAGGCTACCTACATCTCTATGTGCACGTGGGGATGATTGCCTCAACCCTCCTGTAGAACACTGCAACGGATGCCGCGCTCCTCACTGGCGACCGGGCCCATCTAGACTGTTGCAGGATTCTAGGCGACTGTTCCAGACTGCAACACGACATGCCGCAGGTCCAGGAATAGTGCTCGATAGAGCTCGATCTCGGCTCCGCCACGAGGTCGGCTAAATCAGAGGTGGAGGTAGAAATTCTCGAGGGCAGCGGAGCGGGATTCTGCACAGTCAGGGTGAACTCGCCGAACCATGGTCGGCAAAGCTTCTTCACCAAGCCGGCCTGGCAGGAAGCTGCGTATCTGATAAAGAGAACACTTCAGTCGCTTTCTTCAAGGCCCCCTGTGAGCTGCCACCTGCCTGTCCGAGCGCAAGGCGTCGACAACGCGTCCCCAGGCGCCCTTCTGGTCCTTCGAGCTGCTGCGGTCGCCGCCTTCCTTGGCAACCCTGGCTTGTTGGGGATGCTCGTCGCGGTCCTTCTCCTCCTGGCTCCAAGCATGTGTGAGGCAGCCGCGAATCTATGTCACATTGCCAAGAAAACCTAAATCATCCTAAATCCACATCAGCACATGCTTTGGCGCCGCCTTCGGTACAGCAGAAGCATCACCCAGCGCATTTGCAGCCGGCCTGGTGCGGAAACATGCAGACAACGAGGACACCCTCCAAAAAACACTGCACACCCCATGTACGCAAAGGAACCAACCCTTTCTGTGTGACGCGCGGTGAAGTGCAGACATGATCACGCAAACCAGATGCCTTGGAACACGTTTGCCGGCGCCCAGGAATATGGCCTGTGTGCTTTGACAATACCAGATAGATACCATGCGAGGAAAGTTACTGCATCCGAAGAACGGTTAGGTTTGAATTTCAGCATGACTTACTGACAAGGCATAAGGTCAGAAGGCGTTTATCAGAACCCGAGACCCATGTTCACGTTTGCGACGTGAAACAGAGAATTCCTTCACAAGGTTTTGCAGCATGGATTCCTTGGCCTTGTGAGCAAAAGTGGTCGAATGCTACCGGCGCTGGTGCCCTACTTAACCTTATTTGAATCATTTAAGGCTAAAGCCCTTTGAGGGTCCGTGATTTTGACGATTTGACCATATCTTACATCTTCATACGAAACAACAAGTGGTTCTCAATCTCTCTCTTTCTTTCTTTCTTGGGGGCATGAGGGCAAGCCCCCGGGCGTACGCGCCCGCCCCGGTATTCAGGGCACCTCCTGTTTGGACAGTTCGGGAGAAGACCACTCAATCTCTCTCTCTCTCTTCGTCTGCTGGCCCCCCGGTAGCCACCGTACGCAAGAACATATGAAAGTTCGAGTTCCACAGCACCATGTGACGCGCAGGCTTCTTAAGATCATGCTCCAGCTTCTGATTGGCTGCAACTGAATGAGTTGGTTGAGAATTCTCGTCAACGGTAAAAGACCGGCACCGGGGTAACGAAAGACTGGGCTGTTTCCCAGCGAAGAATCAGGCATTTATTTTCTGGCTGAATTTAGGATTAGGGGTCAGGGATCTCAGCCAAAAGCAAGCAAGGGTGATTTTCATAAGCAGAACTGTGCCTTCTCGACCTCATCTCGCGAAAGGTTGCTGTAGCCTGGTGGCAAGCAAGACCAAGTCAACACACACCAGCAGGCAACCTGCTCCTGCCTGCCATGTCCCACTGCCGCTTGGCTGCAGTCCGCAAAATCTGCTCAGAGCTGCAGCGCCTGCCACGGCAACTCAGGGCATCTAATCTGCCGAGGCTTCGGGAAGCATAAAGAGGTACCCCACCTGTAATTCCGCCGCTGGCCACGTGCCAAAATTCAGGCGTCACGAGCCACGTGCTTCGAAGCGAAGGTTTGAGAGATTGCTGGCTTCGAAAGTTCGAGAATTTCAAGTGTGAGGTTTGTTGATGCACGAATTCTTGTACATTCGAGGGTTCCCTCTCTCGAGCTCAAACGTATCTTCTTCAACTCACTCTCTAAACTTTCGTGCAGCCCAATTTGAAAAAAAAACAAAGATTGAAAGTTTGGAGTTCGGTGGATTTGCGGCCGAATTCGAGAGTTCCAAATTGAACTGCTTGAACAGTGGGCACCCGCAGTCTTGGGCTTTGCTTCACCATCACGAGGGCAGAGGCGCCAGGGTCGGGGTGGCGTCTGCTTTTTGCCACTCGTGGCTCCTGAGTGCACGGTGAGGTCGTGTTGACGATGGTGGCGGTGCGGTGTGCTGCCATGGGCGCTCCGTACTTGTGGAGGGATCCACAAGGAAGTGTGCAGGACGAACACGCAGCCTCGCTCAGCCAGCTGCAACTGGGATGATGCCCGTCGCAACTAGTACCTTGGCAAACTGTCTTGCCCTTATGCCGGCCTGTGTGGATGTATGCATCCTTGCAGGTGCGGGTGGCGGGCTTGCGGGCTTGTGTAGTGGTTGCAGCGCCTCGGGCGGGTTTCCTTCGTTGCACGCAAGGGTCGACTGGCCAGCGTCAAAGCACGCTTGATGCCGAGCTTGCCGCTGTCTCGCACTTTAGTCACTGTATTTTCGGGCTGGAAGATTTGGAGTCGACAGCCTGGAGTAGCCCGTTCGAATTTCAAAGTTACAAAATTCCAGTTCACAGTTTGAGAGAATGATGGTCGCGTTTGAGTTCGCGACATCGAGACCTAGTTGAGTTCAAGAGGTTGAAGCTTCGCGAGCAAACGCTTCTTTCGTTCAGCCAGTTCCATGAGTGCGTGAAGAATGTACTTCCAAGCGGATGAAAGGGGTTTCGGGCTTTGGGGGCTCAGGGTTTAGGGTTTCGGGTTTAGGAGTTTAGGGTTTAGGCTTTACCTAGATCACATATCGGGAGATTGTCGTTCCTTCTCAGCAGCACAGACCGTGCCCAAACGATTTTTTCGTTCAGCCAAAGAATGTACTTTCAA